TTTCTTTTCTGACATCTTTTCATTTTATAAAGACGAAAAAAATGTAAAACCAACTCGCAACTTTTTATGAATTCTTAAAAAGCTAATGACACTGACTTTATTATCCAGTGATTCTTCTAATTTAAATGCTAATCCATTTAGTTGAAAAGATTTTATCTCATGTGAAGTCATTTATCAGGAAAACAATCCGGAGCTAATGTGCTAACACTGATGTTTACTGGCGGTTACACCCTTTAGATTTCACACAAAGAAAAGTGCCTCAGGCCGATGCAAATGTTCAATCCTAAAAATAGTGATTTAAAAAAAAAGTTTGCTACTTATGAATTTGTGTTTCTGCTCAGGAGCATTGTCCGTCACATCTTATTCAAAATAAGTGAGAAAATGATCTTCACTGTGCTGAAATCAAAAATGTTCACCACATATTTATTATGATTATCGGTTTTTTAAGTCATTAATCAGGAAAAAAACTCAAACATTCACTGATTTCAGCCGCTCTTTAGCATCATGCTGGAAAATATTTATTTATCCAAACTGAAAAAAAAGAAAAAATTCTTGAATCCCATTTGGTCAATTTGTCCAAATCACTCGCTTTTTATTGACAGTATAATTTTCTATTCATCACAAAATAAACATTTCAGAATTTGTCAAACTGTACATGGAGAAGCACAACATTCAAATATATGCAGAATAATTTGCACATTTGCGATTGTTGGAATTCATACTAATAATATTCCTCTTACATTATAAAAACACTTCATCAAACGTCACCTCCAATCTACAGGGGCAATGCCTGCAGCTTTTGCCGGATGGGGATTATCTTTTGTACAAAACATGAGACGCAAAAGCAAGTAATGCTGTAAAATATTTAAATAGATACTGCTGCTTCAAAAACAGAATACATTTGCTCGCGATCACCCAGGAGACTTTAATATTCCTAAAATCTCCTTTAAAAATGTGACTGTTTAGTGTTTTAATGATGCTGACACCATCCAGTGATTCCCACCCTGTATGTGGCTTTGGAGCTGAGTCACAGTGTACAGTTCAACTGCCGTGTACGCCATATGGTCAATGGCAAGGTTTGGCTCCGGTTCGGATGTTGTATTTACAAAAAGTGCACCGTTGTAGCTTAAATATCAGTTTTGGAACAGACAACATACAGACTCCTCTACAGTTTCTGGAGAACTCCTCATATTAAAACATAGCAGCACAAACCTCTATTTCATTAAATATAAGACAATCAGAATCAGGGCTTTTCCGCTCTTCCTATAAATCACTTTGCACTTTTAACATTCAGGTGAAAAGAGGTTCATACATTCCTCGGCCTCTCGTCTGGGCACGATGCAGTGTTCATAAACATGCCCCATGTGTCGCTCTTCAGTGTTATGTTGTCTCTGTGTGCGGTGCAGTCTACGGTTTGTTCACTGCGTACATTTCGTTTATTTTCTCCTGGTACTTCTTCACAACGATGGGTCTCCTGAGTTTCATGGTGGGTCCTTCAGAGACAAAGAAGAGAAACAGGTTAAAGATTAACATTTGGCTGCAACGCTGTTTGACCCTGAAACTCTAAAAGGGTCTGAGTGGGACTCAAACACTTCATCCACCCCTCCATCGGCACAGTGGTGAGAAGATAATGGGTGGATTTTCATTTTTGGGTGAACTATCGCTTTTAATTGATTCAAATCTCTACAGACGCAGTTTCTGCAGAGTGAGACTGAGGGAAAGGAAGGTTATCAAACTATCACTACACAAACCTCTCTGGAATGTGGCCTGGCTTGTGGAACAGTCACTTGTGATCTTAACAGCTGAGTAATGTTTAAGTGAGCAACAGCAATAGACCTGACTTCCTCCGTCTTTAATGACAGTGCTGCAGTTTAAATACCACAAGGAGGAGTCATGAGATAAGTGTGGGAGGAGTTTGTTAGTTTATTTGTCTTGAGTATCACATTTTTTAATTGTTGTTGATCATTTATTTTATTTTGTTTTCGGGCAAATTAATTCCATGAAAGCTAAGAGGAAATATGTTAATCAATGATTTTTTTTCCTTGACTAAGATAAAAAAAAAAAAATCACGATGAGACGCCACCAAAGTGATTTTAAACTTTTCTGTTACTATATCAATGAGCAATGTTGTAGATGAAATAAAAACCTCTCCAAATTTTCATTGACAAAAAAAGAGACATCTTGCAAAAAGCATTTTTTTAAAATGATTTTCCTGCACACTCGGATCATCTCTCAGATTATCAGCAGCGCAGTAAAGGGGAAAAGAACACGACAGCAACAAAACATTTGGAACCAGTTCAAATATAAAACCACCCAGAGAAAAAAGTGGGCGTGTATAACAAGAAACACCTTAAAGTGCGTCACACAGAAACTAAGGTGACCTCACGTTAAGTTAAAGCCGAGTAAAGACATTGACTGAAGGCAGTGATGTGACTTTATCTCTTGGTGTCACAACAACAGGACATTGCTGCAACGTTTGCAGATGGAAATGAAGCCTAACTGAAAGTTATTTTGTGTTTTAAACACACAAGCCATGTTTACACATGTCAGAAATGAGTGTGTAACAGTAAACGTGGTCTGTTTGCGTCATAGTAGTTAGTAGGTTGACTCGTCCTTTAAAGCCTATACAGAACCTGTATAACACAACACAGAACAACACTACTAACCACAACAGTTGGATTTGTTATTGTTGTTGCAACTTACTAGTTAAAATTAGTTGGATGAAACTGAATTTAAAACTTTACTGAAGTTTAAGTAAATGTTGATTCTTGGTCTGGTTCTTGGGTTTGACTTATTACTAACATTGACTTTTTATCTCAGGAGTAAGAATAAATAAACCTGAAGTGACAAAACTAACACATTTTAGTTTTTGTAAAAGTTGAGCATCACTCTTAGGTTTATAAAGTCAAGCTACATTTATCTCTATAGAGACGCAGGAGTAATCAAGATGACTTTGTTCTTTTGTCTGCCTGCAATCAATCAGGATACCTGAAGAACACACTGCATACCTTACAATCCCATGATGCATCAGTGCCAGTATGATTTTGATCTTGGACAAAAAGTCCCAACAGGAAGATTAACAAATGACTCACCCAGTTCTCCTCCAACGATGGAGAAGTCTGTCTCCGCTATGACCCACTTCTGGACCTTCATGGCGTTGGATGTTGCTTTGGCGTTGATACGCTCCACGCCCTCCTGAATGGCTTTGTAGACAGCTGGCTCCTTATTGGCTATGATCTCCGACACCTTGGTTGCCGTGACGCCTTGCTGCTGGCAGAAGTCCAGCACCTCGGGGCTCAGCTCGTCTGTGGGGTCACCGTTGTCATCGACAACGCACTGTGGAAACAGAGCAGAGTCGTTTTTGTGTTTGTTGCACTTTATTATTTATTTACTGTGTTTTGCAGGAAATGAAGCTTGTTTACTTTGAGCGTGAGCAGCATGGAGAGGAACTTGAGCTTGTCTCCGATCAGCATAGAGTTGCTTATAATTGGCACCTCCGCCTTCAGTGCATCCTCGATGGGCACGGGAGGGATGTTCTCTCCACCGGCGGTGATGATCAACTCTGTGTGAAAAAGACGGGTTCAGTGTGTTTGCCAATGTTTAGTGTCACAATCAAGCACAGTGACCGAGGTAATCCTTCACTAAACGATGCATGGTGAAGTTACCTCCCTTAACTACTGAGGTCAGAGAAATACCAAAAAGTTATGTTTTTAAAAAATGTGGTAAAGCTAAAGATGGAAATGCAGCGCATTCAATTTTTTCATTTTATTTAACAATATGATTTTATTTTCTGTTTTGCTTTTCAAGTTGGAATGGAGGAATAAATATTTTTGGTTGGTCCAACAAAACACATAAAAAAAAAAGTCAAAAAACTATTTCTATACCTATATATCTGCTGATATATACAGTACATACATAATATAATTTGGCAATTATTTCTAATATGTTGTTATCAAACCCTTAATTGAGGTTAGGATTTAACAGTTTAACCATACATTTAACTATAAATTACAAATATAAAGAAAGGGCAAACACAACCAAATGTATTGAATTACGACATAATTGCACATCTTTCCTACATAATTTATTCTGTTAAATTAAAGTTTTCATATCGGCAAACAAGGATGCAGATACCAATAGTGATTATCAGTGAAAGTCTCATTACCCATTAAACATTAAAATGCTTCTTGTGCCCGACACTAAACATGACAAGACACCCTTTAATCACAGCTCACCCTTGATCCTTCCTGTGATGTACAGGAATTCGTACTGGTCGTTTTTTCCCAGGTCTCCAGAGTGCAGCCAGCCGTCGTCGTCGAGAGCCTCTGTTGTTTTGTCGGCCATGTTCAGGTAGCCCATGAAGACGTTCCGACCCCAGAAGCAGATCTCTCCGTTCCCGTCCGCATCTGGGTTCTCCAGCTTCGTCTTGCAGCCTGGCATCACCTTCCCACAGCTGGAAACACAAATCCAGAGTCAACAACATGCTGAAGTAAAAACTTTCCCCCCTGACAAGATTGAGCAAAAACCAGTCATGTATTGTACCAGAGACTCAACCAAATTCCCATATATGTTGAATAAAATGATCATGATCAGGGTCAGTAAATTATTAAAATAAAGAAACAAGCTGCTGACAACAATCAAAGTGTTTCCATGAGACATTAAAAAAACACTTTCTGTAAAGTCACAACTTGAAACAGCATGTCCTGCTGGGTTCATCACTTTTTTGTGTCACCTGGAAACACTTTAGTCATGTGCTTCCCTGCAGCACATGTCTCAGAGCCACTGTAAATAGAGGGGTGGAGTGAGAAGTTTGCGGAAGTACAACTTTCACTGAGGAGAAAGTTATCGGTTGTCACATTCCTACACACTTTTTAAAAAAGTTAATAAGATCTGCAATGCTTCGCCGCTGACCTTGAGATGCGGTAGCTGTCGTTAATGGAGACGGTGTGAGGGCCGGAGCTTTCACTCATGCCGTACAGCTCCATCAGTGGCATGTTTAGGCTCATGAAGTATTCCAGAGTGTCTTTGGTGATGGGGGCGGCGCCTGTGAAGCAGATCTTGCAGCGGTCTAAGCCCAGCGCGGCACGCACCTTTTTGAAGACCAGATTGTTGGCCAGCATGAAACCCCAGGGCACCACATTCTCCCTGGGAAAACAAATAAATTAAAACAGAGGTGAGAGGTGATAATAAACATTCAGGATCCCCACAGGATGAACTGTAATCACACATCCTCTGTTTTAGCATCAAGTGCCATGAGGCCAAAATTGTGCTCTTCTTGCAAAGAGCTCTGAACATTCAGCTACAACAGTGAGAAGTGTAGTTGATAATATCACTGAGATGAGTGGCACAACAGCGTCTGATGAAACATGTCTCAAGCTTTAAAACAGCATTAAAACCCAGTTCTGATTATATATACGTGAGTTAAACAGTGTCAGTGTGTTGTGAAGTATGTTAATAGTTAAACAGCAAAATGTGAAGTATCATCTATCAGATAAGAGGGACGTTGGTGACAAATCACACAAAGACTTTCCAGAGGATCTCGTCTCACCCATTCATGGCGCTGTAGCTGTACTGCAGGCCAATGGACTTGGCCCAGTCCGCCACTCTTTTCCTCATCGGAGATGCCTTGGCGCCGATGGCTCTCATCTTCTCCTGCATCTTCTCCCACACTCGAGGGACCCCCATGAAATAAGTCGGGCGAGCCTCTTTCAGTGTGGTTCCTAAAGAGCCCTGCGATGAAAAAGATGAATGAGGATCACAGTCGAGATGATTATTTATCAGTTCCCTGTTTGTGCAACAGCAGGCGTCGTTACCTTGAGGGCATCTGGGTCTGCGAAGTAGACGGTTCCCGCAAAGACCATGGTGAGCCACATGTCTATCATCTGGGCGGCCACGTGGCTGAGCGGTAAGTAACTGACCAACACCTCCACGCCATAGGTGAAATCTACCAAGGTAGACGCCGTACGGGCCGTCCATGTCAGCTGCACATGGGAGAGGATTCAACACAAATAGATACTTTCTATTTCCATAATGTAAATCAGCAAACACACACCAACAAAGTTCCCTTATCCGCCATCGGTCCCACATGTACATGACTTTAAAAACCAAAAGACAACGAGGGAATAAAAGTTTATCAGAT